GACACCGGCCAGTTGCATCGCAGCCGACGGGGCTTAACGGGCCCGCTTCGGGCCTGGCTGGGCCAGGGGTGCCCCGCTGCCGCGTCCGGACGGCTACCGCGACGGTGCCGGAGGCACGGGCCTCCCGCACGACGGCGGTGGAGGTGGTTCCCTCCCGCTCGGCGTCGGTGTTGCTGCTCCCGTCGTGGTGAGCTTCTCTCCGGTCCTCTCGGCCTCGTGGTGGTGTTCGTAGTGAGGCGGCGTGGGCGGCAGCGCTACTGCGTTGGCGCATGGTGATGGGCGACGGTTTGGCGGGTCGGTTCCGTCCGGTTGGGTGGTTGGGGTTGGAATGCGGGAGAAATCCCTGCCGGCTTCGGCCCCGACGCGGTGACACCTGCGGGTGCCACCATTCCTTCCTAGAGGGTGTCGATGGTATCCACCCCCCACCTCCCTCCACGTGCACGGGGAAACCCGAGGACTCGTCCGGGCAGCAGCATCGTCGGCATCGCATCCTTTCTTGGAGGTGCTGCTTGGTACGCGGCGGTTCGGAGCCTCGGTCTGTGGTGGTCTGTATCCGGTGGGCGCCGCGGTGGCGGGTCATCCGCGCTTTGCCAAGCTGCCGTGGTTGGCTTTTGTTTCTTCTTCTTTTTCTTTTGGTGTGTTGTGCTGCTCGCCACAGCGATATTTGTATTCGGTGTTGGTTGTTTTGGAATGCAAAGCAGGGGAAACCTTTTTTCGGTACGTAAACTTAGTCGTCATGGTCTATTCATTTGGACAGCTGTCCAGATAGTATTAAGAGCCAGGAAACTCACTTCACTGCAGGTCTGCAGCTAAATATATAAAATGTTCAAAATTATGTACACCGTCACTCCACCAAAGAGATATACTATGGGAGTAAAGTACCAATGCATGAAGCTGATAGCATAAAAGCAATATTACTATGCGACTAAAGTATTGTAAAAGAGAGTACTCAACAATTCTACATCGCCGGAAAAACCATCAACTCAAAAAGACTGAGGTTTACGCTGCAAATGATTAACCGATACTGCTGTAAACTGTTGAGGTGATTTCTCTACCAATAATATGCAGTGTACAGAGTTGTTGCTGCTGTAGACAGCAGAAACCCTTCTATATAAGGAGAGCCAATAGACATCACTAAACGACTACATGTTCATGAAAAAAGGCAGATGATTTTAGTAAACAACACAATAGTAGTTGCATAAACAACCGGGAATAAGACGATGGGAACAAAAATAATTCTAGTGTGTAACTTGTGATGTGAGTGTGTGCCATCCTTCAACAACAAAACACGTCCTGAATTGTCTGTATTACATAGTTATAACAAGTTTTGAAGACTCGGTGTCTGTTGTAGACAAAAGGACAAAACTGAGTACCTGCTAAACAACATGTATCAGGCATCTGAGTCCTTTGGAGACGAAACTAAGCTTTGCTTCTCCGGATCAAACTCAGCTTCATCATCGTCACCACGGCCTTTGTTAGCTACAGCCTCACGATGCGCTGGAGCACTTCCTTTACTTTTGACAGACTGCTGATAGAGTATCCCACCTGCCAGAGTGAAGAGCAAGCAAACCAAACCAAATGCATTTGCGTGCTTGTCCCAGATCATAACATTGATTGCAACTGTCAGGAACTTGTTGACGACCCCCGTCACTGTAAACGCCGTGGCAGAGACAGCTTTCCTTGCCGCGAAACCAAAGAAGCTAATGAGCACCCCGAACACGCAGGACAGTGACACAGCAACAAACGCGTCAAGTTCGAACCAGCCTTGGCCCCTTGATTCAATGGCTCTGAAGATGGACAGGTGCTCACCCGTCAGAACCCCAAACACGGGGGCCATTAGCAGTGAAAGAAGATTGTTGTAGATCACAAAGCCCCATGTGCTGAGACCCAGGTTAGTCACCATGTGCTTTATGTACACCATTTCAGTAGTTATGGTGATCAGATAAGCAACTGCCCACAAGTACGCCGTGAGGGTGAACCCTGAATCTGTCATCACATAGCCAACCGCGCCTCCTAAGATAATCACCAGGGACAAGAATGTGAGCTTTGAAGGACATGGCTGCTTTCGGAAGGTGGTGTCAGCGACAGCAACCAGCAGAGGGGTCAAGGATCTGAACACTATAAATGTATCGACATTGGCATGCTTCAGGAGGTGGGTGTTGGTGAATATGGCGAGGTAGAAGACAAGAGCAGCAGGCGCATACTTTTTGGCAGTCTGGAAGTTGAAAGGCTCATGGTAGAGGAAACCGAGCTTCCCAAGGCTCCAAACTCCAACCACGGATGTCAAGTATTGTAGGGCAGTGAGGAGGCCAGGGTAACTGAACTTGGTGATGGCGTACTTGTTAATGATCGCAAGCAAGCTCGAGCATAAAGCATATCCTAAAACGAGGCTGCTTGTCGCATAGGCCGGCTTTGCCATGAGGAAAGATTTATCTGCATGGTAGGTACAATGTAAGAAAAGGGAGTCTACAACTAATAAATGTGAAGCATGATGTGATGCACAATGTTGATAGGGGACTAACAGAAAAACTGCTCTGGAAAACAAGTGCCAAGACTATCTGAATTCATGTGCAGAAATGAGACCATTCATGATTTGTGTGACTTATCTATATTTATTTCCCTAGGCACGTCCATGATTAATTTCTAGGTGGTGAGGCATAGTCCAAATATTCTATCCAATAGCAAATCAAGTAATACAAGAACAATTCTGCAATCAGGCTAGTGAGAATATATGACAAAATTGAACACCTCCTACAATCTACAGCTAAACATCTCAATGAAGGTAGAACAGGGATCTCAAATGAAGCCATTAAGGTTAAGAAAGAACTCCAAACAAGTTATTAGCATGTACTTGTAGTAGTTTAAGCCAAAAATAACTGACATCAATTTCCTTTGCCCAGACAGGTGACACATGGTGACATGGCTATTATCAGACAAAATAAATACTATGATCTGAAGTGAGATTAAAAGTATGATAATCGATTGCCGATCTCTGAGACAATAATTCATCTGCCAATACACTTTTGAGAAGTCGAAAGCTAATGAGTGATAAAGCTTTTGCAAAGGCTTGAAGGGTGTTAATATAAAAATGATTTGCCTCATTCATATATTTTAAATATCTGAATCCTTTTCGCTTTGACCGGCATGAAAGATATGTTAATGGATCTTCTAAAAATACACTCATCATACATGCTCTACATACAATATGTGAGATTCTTCTAATTTCTAGCAACGGTGGTTCGGTAATTTTATGTCAAGTGAAGGAACAAATATGATAAGAGAGTTTGCACGACCGCACATAAGTGAATAATAAAGCAAGTATGTGTTTGCTTCTTGACCTGGAAAATGGGCTTGCTGCATAAAAGGACAGACAAAATTAAGGGCTATATAAATTTATGAATTATAACATTTATTTGAATTTCATCTTAAAATGCAAATACACTTTTATCTTACTTGTAATCTCACTCCAGAATCATGAACCTCAGGTGCTAGTTTCTAGGGTGATAAACACGTGCTTATCATGAATCAGATTTGCCTTATATATTTCACTAAACAAGCTCCACACTACATATTTAAGATGCAAAATCAAATATGATAAAAGACATACCAGCAAGAAACAGCCGCCCAGATGCACAGTTTACTCGGCAAGTTCGGTTTATTTAATAAAACCGAGATTTCGAATTCACATGAACCTCAGGTGCTAGTTTCTAGGGTTTTACCGAAATGGGGAACAGAAATATACCAGAGAAGCAAATGAGGAGGGGGAGGGGAGTAAATAGTGGAGAAGGCTCGCCTTGAGACGCCCCGCTGGCGCCGTTCTCGGTCGCTGACGGGATGGCCTACTCTCGGCGGAGGCGGGGTCGAGGGTGGAGGGGAGCCGTGGCAGGGAACGGGAGGGCGGGCGGAGCGAGGCGGATCAGGGGCACGGCGGAGAGGGGCGGAGAGAGGCGCGGGCGCCGGGGCTTGGACGCCGGCGTCGCCTGCCGAGCCCACGGACGGAGTGGGGCGGAGGCAGGGGCACGGCGGAGAGGGACGGCGAGGGGCGGGCGGCCGGGCGCTGGGGCTTGGCCGCCGGGGTCTTGGACGGGAGAGACGAACAGGACGGGACGTGGGGGTTTGACTGTAAAATTTTCTTTCACTCGGGAACTTTATTGACTAAAACGGGTTCTTATTACAGCTGTACAGCAGGCCAAGAAAAGAAACTAGAGAGTGCAATTCAGCACCCCGCGGTTTGGACAACACATTCCAAAAACGGGTTTCAGAGCCAGGTAGGTCTCTTTTGACTTTGAGATCTTCAAATATTGCTGATGTGCTTTGCTGAGTGAAGCCTGGAATATGTATGACCGATGCTCATGGCAATTTGTGTTTTGTGTTCTCCCTCTTCCAATCTTGCATTGAGATGGTATACGTGTCGAGATTGTTGCTGAACCTCTTGGTTGATTTGTGTCTCTTCGGTCTACATCATCGTCTGTGCTGCATAGATAACCTGCAGGGGTTTGCGGTTCTTTTGCAAAATTGCAAGAGAAAAAGTGAGTGATAATCTGACTCATCATCATTGTTTATCATGCATTCTTTGTTCAGGTGGGTTGACCTGCGACAAAAGCTCTCGTACCTGTTGGAATAGGTCCTCCTAACAATCAAACTTTCGAGCTCTCGCATGAACTTCCTTTTCTTCTTAGTTTTGAGTTAAGAGCCGCTTTACAAATCTGAAGGATGTATAATTGTGATTTCGAACAAAGAAAAGTCTATAAACACTCAGACATACATATGCTGAAACATCTTCATGTTGAGCTTGATAAATAGAAGTATGTTTTCTTTTCATAAAACCTCGTCATGGGACGGGTTGCTCCCACATTACATTGCGAAGAAGAGAATTGATCTAGTTAATGCAGTAAACCTGGAAAAAAAATCCAAACAGTCCACTGATGATTAAGAAGTCCTGATGAAAATCACACATGCACAACTAAAAAGCAGACGACTCCAAGTTTTAGACAGAGTTCGGTAAGTCTTTGGTAACAATTGCATAATCAATTTTTTTGTGGGGTGCATAAGCAAAGTTGTTGTTTCGAAGTTTCAGATATCGCCCAACCATTCATTAATCCAGTACATACCATTAGCCTTAAGGATTGAAGTCCAAAAGGCCAATTTGGGGGCATTATTGCTACTTCTCTAAAAACAAGCATTAGAAAAATACCTAATTAGCCTTTAAACTATTTTTAACCATGTGATATTGGCCATACCATGTCACTATTATTATTTGATTGCATGTGATGTTTATCATGTTTTTGCATCTTGTTTACTTAGAACGACGGTAGTAAATAAGATGATCCCTCATAATAATTTCAAGAAAGTGTTTTCCCTAACTGTGCACCGTTGCGACAGTTCATTGTTTCGAAGCACCACGTGATGATCGGGTGTGATAGATTCCAACGTTCACATATAACGGGTGTAAGACAGATTTACACATGCAAACACTTAGGTTGACTTGACGAGTCTAGCATGTACAGACATGGCCTCGGAACACGGAAAATCGAAAGGTCGAGCATGAGTCGTATAGAAGATACGATCAACATGAAGATGTTCACCGATGTTGACTAGTTCGTCTCACGTGATGATCGGACACGGCCTAGTTAACTCGGATCATGTTATACTTAGATGATGGGAGGGATGTCTATCTGAGTGGGAGTTCATTATATAATTTGATTAGATGAACTTAATTATCATGAACTTAGTCTAAAATCTTTACAATATGTCTTGTAGATCAAATGGCCCACATTGTCCTCAACTTCAACGCGTTCCTAGAGAAAACCAAGCTGAAAGACGATGGCAGCAATTATACGGACTGGATCCGAAACCTGAGGATCATCCTCATAGCTGCCAAGAAAGATTGTGTCTTAGAAGCACCGCTAGGTGACGCACCCATCCCACAGAACCAAGACGTTATGAACGCTTGGCAGACACGTGCTGATGACTACTCCCTCGTTCAGTGCGGCATGCTTTACAGCTTAGAACCGGGGCTCCAAAAGCGTTTTGAGAGACACGGAGCATATGAGATGTTCGAAGAGCTGAAAATGGTTTTTCAAGCTCATGCCCGGGTCGAGAGATATGAAGTCTCCGACAAGTTCTTCAGCTGTAAGATGGAGGAAAATAGTTCTGTCAGTGAGCACATACTCACTATGTCTGGATTACATAACCGCTTAACTCAGCTGGGAGTTAATCTCCCGGATGACGCGGTCATTGACAGAATCCTTCAGTCGCTTCTACCGAGCTACAAGAGCTTTGTGATGAACTTCAATATGCAGGGGATGGAAAAGACCATTCCTGAGGTATTTTCAATGCTGAAATCAGCAGAGGTAGAAGTCAAAAAGGAACATCAAGTGTTGATGGTCAATAAAACCACCAAGTTCAAGAAAGGCAAGGGTAAAAAGAACTTCAAGAAGGACGACAAGGGAGTTGCCGCGCCCGGTAAGCAAGCTGCCGGGAAGAAGCCAAAGAATGGACCCAAGCCCAAGACTGGGTGCTTTTATTGCAAGGGAAGTGGTCACTGGAAGCGGAACTGCCCCAAATACTTAGCGGACAAGAAGGCCGGCAACACAAAAGGTATATGTGATATACATGTAATTGATGTGTACCTTACCAGTATTCGTAGTAGCTCCTGGGTATTTGATACCGGTGCGGTTGCTCACATTTGTAACTCAAAGCAGGAGCTGCGGAATAAACGAAGACTGGCGAAGAACGAGGTGACGATGCGCGTCGGGAATGGTTCCAAGGTCGATGTGACCGCCGTCGGCACGCTACCTCTACATTTACCCACGGGATTAGTTTTAAACCTCAATAATTGTTATTTAGTACCAGCTTTGAGCATGAACATTGTATCAGGATCTCGTTTAATTCGAGATGGCTACTCATTTAAATCCGAGAATAATGGTTATTCTATCTATATGAGAGATATGGTTTATGGTCACGCTCCTATGGTGAATGGTTTATTCTTAATGAATCTCGAGCGTAATGCTACACATATTCATAGTGTGAATACCAAAAGATGTAAGGTTGATAATGATAGTCCCACATACTTGTGGCACTGCCGCCTTGGTCACATAGGTGTCAAACGCATGAAGAAGCTCCATGCAGATGGATTTTTAGAGTCTCTTGATTACGAATCATTTGACACGTGCGAACCATGCCTCATGGGTAAGATGACCAAGACTCCGTTCTCAGGAACAATGGAGCGAGCAACCAACCTATTGGAAATCATACATACTGATGTGTGCGGTACAATGAGTGTTGAGGCTCGTGGTGGCTATCGTTATGTTCTCACCCTCACTGATGACTTGAGTAGATATGGGTATGTATACTTAATGAAACACAAGTCTGAAACCTTTGAAAAGTTCAAGGAATTTCAGAGTGAGGTTGAGAATC